CTTGGGGCGAATGACTACGGCAGCGAGGTGGACGTGCAGAGCGGGCGCTCCATGCGCCATCTAGACGACGATGATCGAGTGGTGCATCTGGAGAGGAGCTGCAAGTATCTTCAGGGTGCACACGACGTTGGGCGTCGCTTGAAGCAGCGGCGCATGTGCAAGGAGTGTTCTAAGAAGCTGCAGTGAGGGGTGAGTGAATCTTTGAGCCTTGAGCTTGGCGGCTGTTCCGCGCGCGAGCGGGTTTTCGGGCATGCAGTTTGAAGTTGGAGTTCCCTACGAGGGGGTGTGGATCTTCTGTGAGGATATCCAGTGTCCTCCCTCTTTCAAGAGAAGGATGCTATGATTAAGTCTAGCATCTGTTCTGACGACGTTAAGGTGCAGAGCTTGTTGTCGTGGGCGAAGGATTACCCCCGCGCCGAGGAGACAGCAGTGCTTGTATTTCTGTACGCATGCATGCAATGCATGTATGCATGCATGCATGCATGCAGGTGTGTATTTACGTATGCATGCATGCATGCATGCATGTATGTATGTATGTATGTTTGTTTGTATGCGTGTTTGTATGTATGCATGAATGTTTGCATCTTTGGACGCGTGTATGTATGTATATATATATATGTGTGAAAATGCATGCGTGTTCAATGTGTGCATATTTGTATATATGCGTGCGTGCGTGCGTGCGTGCGTGTGTTGATGCGTGCGTGCGTGCGTGCGTGCGTGCGTGCGTGCGTGCATGTGTGTGTGTGTGCATTCATGTATTCATGCATTTTGTTTGTTTGTATGTATGTATGCTTGTGTGTGTGCATGCTTGTGTGTCTGCATCTGTACAGGTGTATCCATGTACATTTGCAGGTATGTATGTGTGTTTGCATGAATTTGTTTACATATACATGTATGTATGTATGTATGTATGTATGTATGTATGTATGTATGCATGCATGCATGTATGTATGTATGTATGTATGGATGGATGGATGGATGGATGGATGGATGTATGTATGTTTGTATGTATGTATGTATGTATGTATGTGCGTGTGTATATATGAAGTACATGTGTTTACATGTGTAGGTCTATGAACATATATTCCGTGCGAACACCATTTTCCAGTGCAAGTGTTCCACCAGGAATCGGTTGCACTCATGGGTTCTTCCTGAAGTCGCTGGTTGGGTATGCTGAGTTTTCGCCTGGTATGGGGACTGCGGTCGCCTCGTGGGCGCCTCTTGCGCTGGTTGGGTCTGCGGAGGCTTCGTCTAGTGGGCGACCGTGGGCGCCTCGTGGGCGCACCGTGCGCTGGCCGGGTCTGCCGAGGCTGCGCCCGTTGGGCGGCCGTGGGCGCCTCGTGGGCGTGCCGCGCTGCTCGTACCACACCACTTGTATTACATAGCCTGTACCTCTTCGCTTACACCTCGCTGCTTACACCGCATAGCTTGCATTATACAGTTTGCACCACAGCGTACACTACGCATACCCAGAGCTTGCACCATATGTATAGCTTAGACACACTGCTTACGCCGCATGGCTTGCACGACGCTGCTGGCAGCGCGCAGCGCCTGCACAACATGGCGTCCACCGCGCTGCTTACATACTCAGAGAGGAAGAGCTCCCTGTTTTGGCCTCACGGGGGCCTTTTGCTGGCTTCTCGGGGTCTATTGTGGGCCTCTGGGCTGTCTTAGGGCTCTCTTGGCCCGTGTGACGCCTTCAGAGGCCTTCTCCAGGGTCTCGTTGGGCCGTCTTGGGGCATTATCCAGTTGCCTGTGGCAATTCCGTCACCCTGCCAACGTAGCATTCTGGGAGGCAACTAACTACTGAAGCAGGCAAGGGGGCTTGCTTGGGGCCTCTTGGGGCAGAAGGCTTGAGTTCTGGGTTCGTGTTCCCGCTCTTGGACCTTTCTTGGGGCCATCTTCGGGTCCTATTGGGCAGTCGTGGGCGTTTCGTTTTCGAGGGGCCTCCTGAGCCGTCTCGGGGGAATCTTGAGGGCCTCTTGAGCCGACTTGGAGCGTCGGAAGCTCGAAACGGCGAGAACCCAACACATTACGCTGTGACGTACCCAACCCATTTGAATGCGCCGTCATTCGTTGCGCGAGCTACATGGGATACGCGCGAATTGCACGACTCACAAGACAGCGATAGCAGGACTAACAGTGAGGCTCAAGGCTCGAAGAGGATAATTACGGAGGCGGGAACGAGGGGCAAGAAAAGGACGGGAAGGGGGGCAGACAAGCCAATTGGGCAGCAGCAGCAGCAGGGAAACGGTGCAAGGAATAAGAGGACGACAGCGAATGAGGCGGGATGGGAAGTAATAGTGACACTTTCTTTCAAGTGGTACGCTGGACATGCAGCTCTGCCGGCACAATGTCCTTATGGCGCTCCAAAGGATCATATCTGATTATAGCTAGTGCAAGAGACGAGAGAAGTCTAGCTCGCCCACCAGCTTCTCGGCCACTTTCCGGCGCCTTTAAATGCGGAAGCTAAGCGCTCGCAGGCGCAACGCCAGGTCTGCGGGCGGCCCGCCGGCAAGGAAATCAAAGCCAGGGTCTCCCCCAAGGGATGGCGAGGTCTAGTCTGAGTCTGCGTAAGACGTCACTCCGCTGGTCCCCTCAGCAGCCCTCGAAAGTGGCGACAGTTTCGCAGTTCGCAGCTCTCCATGGATGGCGAGGTCTAATCTGAGGCTGCGTAAGACGTCAGTCCGATGGACTCCCCAGCAGCCCTCGAAGTTGGCGATCGTTTCGAAGTTCGCAGCCCCCACAAGGATGGCGAGGTGTAGAATGATTCTGCGTAGAACGTCACTCCGCTGGACCGCCTCGGATGACCACCGTGAGGCGGGGGTTCCATAGGGAGGGGGCTCCCATTCGAGACTTCTTCGGGATTCACTCATCGACGAGGCTCGAGACATCCTCTCATATTGCTCATGGGCGAGGCTCTCGCTCGATATTTCCTTGGGATTTAGTCTCCCATGTGTTGCCATTATTTTGGTTTCCCCCCACGATTTTTCCGATGTGCGCCCATTACCAGTGTGATCTGCGGGCCCCGTATGGAGGGAACTTCCGCTCGAAGCATCCTTGCGATTCACTCACAGACGAGGCTCCCGCTGGAGACTTCCTCGGGATTCAGGCTCCCAGGTGCCACCTTTCGTTGTTGTTTTTGCTGTTGTTTGTTGTTTTTGTTGTCGTTGTTGCTGCTGCTGGTGGTGGTGGTGCTGCTGCTGCTGAGTTATATATATATGTATATATGTATATATGTATATATGTATATATATATATATACATATATACATATATGTTTTTTTGTCAAAGCTTTCCAATGGCTGCCTCGGATTGCCAACATGATATGCGGGCTCCATTGGGAGTGGGCTCCCGCCGGAGACTTCCTCACCCGTCACTCGCGAACGAAACTCCTGCTCGAGACCTCCTTTGGATTCATGCTCCCAGGCGCAAGCCTAAACATTAATCATTAGAACGTATGTTGATTTATCGGATGCCGCATAGGGAGGGGCGATGCCGCTCGAGACTTCCTCGCAATGCTCTCACAGACGAGGCTCCCATTCGAGACTCCCTGGAGATTCAGGCTCCCAGGTGTCACCAAACTTGTTTATCGTTCACTGGGGTTTTCGATGGTCGTGTCGGATGACCAACGTGACCTGCGGGCCCCACAGTGAGGGGTCTCCCGCTTGAGACGTCCTCGCAGTGTACTCACGGACGAGTCTCCCGCTCGAGACTTTCCTCGGGGTTCAGGCTCCCAGGTGTCACCAGACCTATTTTTTGTTGACATGGTTTTCCGATGGCGCCTCGGATTACCAACGTGATCTGCGGGCCCCATAGGGAGGGGGCTCTTGCTCGAGACTCCCTCGCGTGTCATTCAAAAACGAGGCTCCTGCTCGAGAGTTTCTCAAGGTAAGTGTGCGAGAGTGTCATTGAGTGTGTGCGGTGGCTGATGCTGATGCTGATGCTGATGCTGATGCTGATCATGATGCCGATGCTGATGCTGACGATGGTGGTGGCGATGCTGATGATTGTGGTGATGGTGATGGTGATGGTGATGGTGATGATGATGATGATGATGATGATGATGATGATGATGATGATGATGATGATGATGATGATCGACGATCACGCTGGTATGGTGATGGTGATGAGGATGGTGTTAGGATGACGGTCATGGTGATGGTGATGAGGATGGTGGCGAGGTTGATGATCATGGTGCAGATGATGATGGTGAGGATGATGATGGCGATGGTGATGATGCTGAGATTTTTGTGTGGGCGAGCAAGCGAGTGAGTGAGTGAGTGATTCTGATGAGGAATCAAGGTGGTAATGGTGATGGCGATGGTGAGTGTGCAAGGAGGAGAGGGGATCATCTGGGGTGAGTGAGTGAGTGACGATGATGATGATAATGATGATGATGATGATGATGATGATGATGATGATGATGATGATGATGATGATGATGATGATGATGATGCTGATGATGATGATGATGATGCTGATGCTGATGCTGATGCTGATGCTGATGCTGATGCTGATGATGATGATGATGATGATGATGATGATGATGATGATGATGATGATGATGATGCTGATGATGATGATGATGATGATGATGATGATGATGATGATGATGATGATGATGATGATGATGATGATGATGATGCTGCTGCTGCTGCTGCTGATGATGATGATGATGATGATGATGATGATGATGATGATGATGATGATGATGATGATGATGATGATGATGATGATGATGGTGTGTGTGTGTGTGTGTGTGTCAGTTTGTGGCCCAGGCTTGACCTCCCCCACAGAGCAGCAGCGGAGGCATCTCCCGCCGACCAACAGCACCCGCCCAGCCGCACACGCAGCCCTGCCAGACCTCTTGCGGCCGGCCCCCTAGCAGCCCACGCCACCAGCCGCGTCGGGCCATACGGTGCTAACGCCCCCGCTTCCGCTTTCAACGTCGTTGCCGATGGCGATGGTCCCGCCCCTGGGCCCGATCCCCCCCGGAGGACGGCAGCGGCAGCAGATGCGTGCCGTCCCCGCAGAGTCAGGCAGGGTGGCTTGCCATGATGGGATCAAGTGGTTTCATGCTAACGATGGCCCGTTCGCCCCTGACAACAGTGACGGAGCGGATGACGAAGAGCGTGAGCGCGACATGGTCGTTGCGCCGACTGGCACCAACAGGCCGGCCCCCCGAGCGCCCACTGGGCAAGAGATGGAGGACGCCTTCCGGGCCGCAGGCGATGAATGGGACCAAGGGCGTCCACAGTGAATGAGCCACTCAGCTTGTTTCTTTTTGCGCCCTCTGGGCCCCGGGCCGCCTCGGGCCCAATCTTGCCGGCCCCTGGCGCCGTCCTTGGCCTGGTGCGCGCCTGCTCGGCGCGGCTTTCCTGCCCTCCCCCGCTCGGCCCCTCCGCGGTCGCCCCCGCCCGCCCGCCCGCCGCCCTTCTTTTGGCCCGCTGCCTGCCCCAGCGAGGCTGGGCGCCCGCGCTGGTCTCCCTCTGGTCCGTAGCTGGCTGGGGCGCGGACCTGCCAGTCCCTGGCGCTGTCTCTGGTCCGGGTCTGCCCGTGCTGCTTTCGGCCTCCCCCCAGCCTCGCCTCTGCTGTCGGTGGCTGGGTTCGCGTGCTTCAGCCCCTCTTTGGACGCGGTATCGTTCCACCGCGTCAAGTCGCGACCGCACGCCGCTTGCGGCTGAGCCGCGGGCGTGGACTTGCCTGCTCTCAGCGGTGCGCCGTCGCGGTCGCGCGCCGCGGCTCGTTTCTTTTGCTCTCAGGCCGCTGACTCACCTCAGTGGCGCCCACCCCACCCCTGGCTTGGCACGATCTCCTGGGTGGCCCTCAGAGCCGATCGCCTTGCTGCTGCCCCAGCTGGCCTTTAGGCTTCCAGCAGCTGTCGCCCTGGCCTTCCCGCAGCTTTCAGCTTTTTCATCCCTCACCCTTGCGGAGTCCGCACTCCCGGCTGGGCTCACTCCAGCGGTGCTCTACCTAAGCGGTGCGGTTGCACCCTTGGATTGGTTCGGTCTCATTGAGTGACCCTCGGGGCTCAGGGTGATCGCCTCGCTCGATTCCCAGCTTCCGCGGCCCTGCGAGCGCGGATCTGCCCGCCTGCTGCTCCGCTCGTCGCGTAATGCCGCCACAGCTCTCGTCCGCCTCGGCCTCAATGCGCTCCCTGGCCTGGCTCGATCCCTTGGGATGACCCTCAGCGGTGATCGCCTCGCTTCCGCACTCGCCCCTTTGTCGCTTCCGCCCTCGCCCGCCGTAATTCTGGCGTGGCCGCCCGCTGCCTGACCGCCCGGCCCCCGCCTCGCCTGCCTAAATTTGGTGCGATTAGTCCTTTTCTCTGCCGCCAGCTCGGTGGTCCTCCAATTCCTCGCTGCCGTTGGCTGGCAGCCCGCCGCTGCCCACGCCCTGCTCCGCCCCGCTCCTCTCTGCCAAGCGCCCGCGCTGCGCCAAGCGCCCGCGCTGCGGCCGCCGCCCTGCCCCGCCTGCCGCCGCCGCACTGCCCTGGCGCTCCTGCAACGCTCGGCCACTCCCTTGTGAGGGGTTGGCCATTTTATCATTATTATTGTTATTATTATTAGTATTATCATTATTTTTCTTCTCTTCTGGTGCTGGGTTCTCGCGCGGTTCTCCGCGCGCAGGCCAGATTGTGAGGAGGTGCTCCTGCCCGCGACGACGGCAAATCAACATAGGTATGTGTTTACATGTATATGGTATATACATATATGATGATGATGATGGTATATGTACATATATGCGTGCAGGTATATATATACATATATATATACATTCGCATCTATTTATATATATAAAAATGTGTGAACATGTATTTGTGTAGGCTTATGCATATGTACACACATATATGTATATGTGTATGTATACGTAGATGCGTGTGTGTAGGTGTCTGTATATATACATAGGTTTGTATGTATGTATCTGCATATGTACATGTTAAGGTGTATACATACATATATATATATATATATATATATATATGTATACACATGCATAGGTGTATGCATGTGTACATGCGCATGCATATATACATAATCACGCATATGTATCAGCGCATGTATATTAATATGTGCATATGTATGTATCACTATACGTATATTCATATACATGTTAGCGCATTTGCCTTGTATGCATACGCATATCTATATATACATAGGGGTGTGTATTCGTACATCTGTGTATATATAGGTATTTGTAAACGCATATGCGTTTGCATATGTATTTGAATATGTAGGTGCATCTGTCTTTGTTTATGTGTTCGCATACGTATATGTATATGCACATTTAACTGTACATCGTACTGTAGCTGTATCTCTCTCGACATGTAGACGTATATGTACATGTATGTATGCATGTATGTGTTTATGTATGCGTGTATACATGTATATTCATAACTATTGTTTGTATGCGTGCATATGGTAGTTGTATGCGTATACGTATGCATCTGCAAACATATATATATATATACATACACATAAATATGCATACGTATATGCACATCCGTGCGTGTACATATATATATATATATATATATGTACAGGCATATGTATGTGCATAGGCATTTGTATAGGTATATGCATATGTGTATATATATGCACATGTAAATGTACATTTACACGTGAATGCATATGTCTGATTGTGTATATGTACATGGGAATGTACATATTCATGTACGTGTAACACTGAAATGTGTACATGATTTTGCCTGAAAACGAATAGTTTGGGTGATCGCACGCGTTTGTGTGTTCTTCTTCGTGCGCGGAGCGTCGCGAGAACACATAAGCAATTTTTGGATGTGGGAAAACATTGGAAACGCTAGTGGCAATCAATGTTGTTTGCCTCTCGAGGTTCTCATGTGAAGACTCTTGGGGCTCTGTTGGGGCGCCTCGACGGCCTCCTCGGCGTCTTGAAGCCATCTTTGGCCGTCGTGGTGCCAACGCGTCCTTCTTGAAGCGATGTTTGGCCGTCTGGGAGGCATCTGGTCCCCGGGAGCGTGAATCTGTGGTATTCTAGACGCTTCGCGCAACCCCACCAGCTCATCCAGAAACCATGCCCAGGCGACTTGCCCTGATCAGGCATGTGGGGGAGAACGCAGTGTAATAACCACTGCGAAGCCGTCGTGCCCAAAGAGGGGGAGGATGGATGAGGAACCAGATGAGGAGGAGGGTGAGGGTGAGGGGGGGGTAAGGATTGGGGAGTAGGATTAGGCGGATGATGATGATGCTGATGATGGTGATGATGATGATGCTGATGCTGATGCTCATGATGCTTATGATGATGCTGGTGATGATGAGGAGGATGATGCTGAAGATAATGATGATGCTTTGATGATGATGATGATGAGGCTGCTGCTGCTGATGATGCTGGTGATGATGAGGATGATGATGCTGATGACGATGATGATGATGCTTTCATGATGCTGCTGCTGCTGCTGATGATGATGATGATGATGCTAACGATGCTGATGATGCTGATGATGACGATGACAATGACGATGATGATGATGATGATGATGATGATGATGATGATGATGATGATGATGATGATGATGATGATGATGATGATGATGATGTTGCTGATGAGGATGAGGATGAGGATGAGGATGAGGATGAGGATGACGATGATGATGCTGATGATGCTGATGATGACGATGACGATGACGATGACGATGACGATGATGATGATGGTGATGATGCTGATGATGATGATGATGATGATGATGATGATGATGATGATGATGATGATGATGATGAGGTTGAGGAGGAGGGAGGAGGAGGAGGAGGAGGAGGATGAGGAGGAGGAGGAGGAGGGAGGAGGAGGAGGAGGGGGAGGAGGGGGAGGAGGAGGAGGAGGAGGAGGAGGAGGAGGAGGAGGGGAGGAAGAGGAGGTGGAGGATGATGATGAGGAGGAGGAGCAGGAGGCAGAGGAGGCAGAGGAGGAGGAGGAGGAGGAGGAGGAGGAGGAGGAGGAGGAGGAGGAGGAGGAGGAGGAGGAGGAGGAGGAGGTGGAGGGCGAGCAGTAAAGACCGGAAGCCTCTTGGATGCTTCTCGGAGTCCCTCGGATATCTCGTGGGAGCTTCTTGTGTGCCCCTTGAGGCTTCTTTGAGGCCTCGCGGCGTCCCCGGGGGCTTCTGAAAGCGCCATGGGTGCCTCGGGGGAGCCTCTTCGGGCCTCGTGGGAGTCCTTTGGGAGCCTTTGAATGGCCTCTTCGAGGCCTCCTGGGGGGGCCTCTTGGGGGCCTCTTGGGGCATCCTGGGCGCCTCTTGGGGCCCTCTTGGGGCACTCTTGGGGGCTTCGGGTACCATCTTTGGGCCATCTTGTTGGAGGAGATCGATCAAAGGAGGGGCCGTAATTAATTAGCGTTGTCCACCCAGGAGGCCAACGTGTGGCATCAATGATCCTTGCCTTCGCGCCAGGGTTGCACCCCTCGCGCCCCCCCCCTCCAGGTCCAGGGGGAGGGGGCAGGGGAAGAGTGGGGGTGGAAGAGGAATCTCGCTAAACCGCTCACGCCCCAAAGGGCTGGTGGGATCTCGGGAGCGCGACTTTGCTGTATTCTGCGAGGGGGCCTCGGGAAGGGGGGGGCGATGCATGCAGCTGGTTGCGAGGAGAGGGGGGGCCCTTAGACAATTACAGAAACCCTACCAGGCAGCTCAACGGCACGTTGGACACCAGCGAAAAGGTTGGAGCGACAACTGAAGGCGCGACTGAGCGGAGCACGCGGCCCGGCGTCGAGCTGGGGCAGACCCGTCTGCCCTACGGGCCCTGTCTCTCTCTCTCTCTCTCTCTATACCAGGCAGCACTTGGCACCCTAGCACGCCCCAACGAGCCAGGGGGCACGGTGGCGGATGAGGGGCGTTTCAGCGCGCCCCGTATTTCTGTCGGATCGTCTTGGAGCCTTCTTGGGGCCCTTTGGGCCATCCCGTGGCCCTCCTGCGCCGTCCTGGGGCCCTCGTGAGGGCCTCGTTACGCGTCCTGGGGTCATCCTGGAGGCCTCTTGGACCATCCGAGGGGTTTGGGCGCCCGAAGAGGCACCAACGGTAAAACCTTTCAATAACCTAGTGGCATTATTGTTTTTAGCATCGTCGGCCTTTCTTGGGGGTTCCCTTGCAGGGCCCTTGCGGCGTCCTGAGGGCCTCTTGATTTGGTCAGTCTTGGGGCTTTCGTGGCTGTTTTGGAGCTCATCTTGCACGTCGTGGCGGCAACTTTGGGCCGCCATGGTATCCTAC